ATTTAGATTTTGAAGACTCAAACTGGACTTCGCAAAGAGCTCATTTATTATTGCGTTGCTTATAGACTGTTTCACTATGAATGTCAAAATTCAGCAGCTCTGGCCGTAGCGACCGCCTCACTCAGATCTTGCCCAGCATCCGCGAAAATATCCTAGCAGCATTTCTCTACGAGTAGAAGTTGACGGCTAGCGAGCGTGTGAAAATTTTTAAAGGTTGCTTATAGAAAGCGACGCAAGACAAGTAATCCGAGGCACTAGAGTTAACCCTAGTTAAACCTTGAGGGTCAAAATGTGCCAATGTGCTGCATATTCTCTTTATCATAACACTTTTCGAATTCTTTTTTACGTATCCTAATTTGTACTCTACATTTACATGCTAGATTGCGTCCTAGTGCAATGGAAAAAACCATCCAATAATTCTTGTTTCTCTCATTTTGAATGGTTAACGCTCTTGCAAGCATACCTTGAATCGCCACTGACAGCGATTTGACCGTTTCATCTTATGGCTTTCATCAAAAGTGTGACACTTACATCTCAGAACACGCTAAGCTGTCAAGAGCGGTACAATGTATGGATGCAATGCAATGCTCGATTTTATTGACAATACAAATCTTCAGCCATGACAATATGCAGTAAAACAACACTCTGACCATTTCCCTGGTGTACAAGGCGGCAAAGATGGAGGCGTGAGGTATCCAGTAGGTTGTGGTCCTGTTGGATAAAACGGCACTGAAGGTTTGGTGATGTAGCCGGGTGAAGGAGGTGATGGAGTAGGCAATAAAGGAGTTGGGGGAAGAGGAGGAGGCATAGTGATATACCCTGTCGGAGGAGATGGTGGAGGAATTGGAGGAGATGGGAGGGGAGGTGGTGGAGGAGGTGGTGGAAAGAGTGGAGGGGGTGGACTAGGAGGAGGGGGAGGAGGAGGCGGCGGCGGCGGAGGTGGCAGTGGCGGTAGTGGTGGCGGTGGCGATGGAGGTGGAGGGGGAGGAGGTGGTGGAGGTGGAGCCGGTGGAATAGTGGGAACTATATATGAACCTGATACTGGTGGGTAGGTGATAGGTGGGTAAGTAATTGGCGGTAGTGGAGATATAGGCGAGTAAGTGATTGGTGGTAGTGGAGAGGGTGGGTAAGTGACTGGTGGTAGTGGAGAGGCTGGAGGTCCAGTGGGAAGGGTAGTAAGTGGCGGGAAGGGCTTTGATGGTACAGGAGGCTGTGGCAATGGTATTGGGTGCGGTTGCACAGGAGGAGGCTGAGGAGCAGGCAGCGGAGGTGGATAGCCTTCAGGGAATTTTCCATAGCACTTCCGACAGTCGTCGCAGCAGTCTGAAAATCCTTAGTTAGTCACAGCATCGCGCACACAACCTCACCTTTGCCTCCTCGTATTAATCCAAATGGCCCAAAGGTACAACAACTGCATTTTCTGCACAACAGACTCTGAAGAAAATTTTTT